TTTCCGCTTCCGAATTATTACATGAATATGTATGAAAAAGGCAACTAGGATCTAGATGACATAAACGCTCAGTAAACAATAACCTGCTAATAGCAATAACAAAAAAAATCTATAGCTATTGTGAAAACATTTATAGTTACAGCAGATAGGGCAGCAAAAAAACTTTCATGCAGATAGGGCATAACACTGGGCATAGCAAGTTGCCATAATAGCAAATAGCAATGGTAGCAGTTAAGGCAGTAATAGCAAATAACAATTATTGTAGGCAAAATACTGATTGCAGCAATTCAAGCAATGTTAGCAAAATAGCAATTGTAGCAATATGTATAAAAAAAAAATAGCAACAAGCAATTGTACCAATATGTGTAAAAATAGCAGCAAGCAGTTATAGCAATATGTAACAAAAAAAATAGCAACAAGCAATTGTAGCAATGGAGGCAGTAATAGTAATAGCAAAATAGCGATTAAGCAAATAATAGTGGAATTTGTTCAAAGACTTGCGTGCTCCTATGTTTGCTTTTCCTGATTGGGACACCCTGTATGAGGTCCCACGTAGGTCAGTACTCGTCCCAGCAGCCTAGTAGTATGAGGGACCACCCTGTATATCGATAAAATATAGATGTGGATGAGGGAGCATCTGGGAGCCAAGGTGAGTTAGGTCCACCCTGTAGCTTTCAATCCTACAGCTCCAAAATGTAGACTCCAAGAAAAAACCCTGAGAAAGACATGAAATTACCATCACATTCTGAATAAACTGTTTCCTCAAAACTCACTGACAGTCAACACTAGCCAATGAAAAAAAACACAAAAAAAAATAAATATATCTGTAAATGAAAGCCCCAACAGATGAATAAACCAATCAGCCTATATTAGAAAATATTTACCCAAGAAAATATTGAATTAATGGAATATCGAAATTAATTTAATGAGGAAAAGATAATTTTGTATGCCAGTAGGCATTCTATGATGAAATTTTGCATAATTCATCAAAATAATATTTTGACAATCTCAAAGTAGAAATCGTTAAGCCCGATAAACTATAATATCAGAGCTCCACAAAACATGTCAACACCAGATGACTATATGAATAAATAAAAAAAGAATACCAAGTATTAAAGAAAATGTAGCTATTTACATATCCAAATACATGTAATACGTTTTGAATGTATCAAAACATCTTATAGAAAACAATATAAAAAGTTCTGAATGATAATAAGTTAATGATTATTATCTGAAACTGAAAATAAGGAAGTAATCTGCACTCAGAGAAATTCAGAAAGATGATTATACCGGATTAAAAATTACTAACGAACTTACCCTGGCCAAGGGGTTTTTTTTCTTGTATTGTAATTCACAGGAATCCTGATAATATGTCCCTTCTGGATAAGACAGCAAACACACATCTGTTTTAGTTTCGTCTGAGCTTCGTCAGTGGATTATCGCTCTTATTGCCCTATTACTTTAGGTCGAGTTTTGTCGAGCATGGGAATATGATCCTTATGGACTCTCGAGCCTGATCTCCAGAAAAAGCACCTCTACCATCTTATGGAGTTCGGACACCTGCATGTATAGTGTAACTTCAAATCCTCTATAAGAGTACAATTTTGGCCGAACCTTCAAAATATGCACACCATGCCAACAACGGAATACCAAAATTTATTATTGTGTTGCACGAAATAGCTCCCTAAAAGGATGACTTGGTAAAAGTCAAAAATATTGTGCAACAACGAAACACCATCAGTACTTGTCCGAACTACCAGAAAAGTGAGTTAACTGCCTCAACCTCCAGTGAGAGGTCGCGGTAGTCGCAACTTTGACACGGAGCACTCAGAACATCATCCATGCAATGCAACCAGAACTTACTCTGACGTCTAACAGATGGCGTCGTTTCAGGAGCCTACTACCTGAAATAAATACAATTCCAAGGGCGTTAGGGATTCCAACCAACCCGTCAACACTACCCAAGGAGCACATTGGAAGTGGGTACTCATTAGATCACCATCCAATTACGATTTATAATGTCGGGAATTTTGGTTTTAGATGTGGCAACACTGTGGAAGTGGGGTTAGGAACGGTGGATGTCAACTAATCAATGTCAACTAGTCAATGCCAACCGATCTATGTCAACTGATCAGCTGATCCACTCGAGACTGTCATCGGGTCTGTGAAAGATTGACTATTGGCAAGGTGACGATTCCGATACGGCACCTGGTGGGCAAATTTGAACCAGTTTAGGACGTAATTCAAGGTCATGTTTGTTATTGTGTTCAGTAGGTTTCATATTTTATGAATACCATTCAACATTCAACAAATTACGTTAATTTTCTCTTCTTCCTTCTCTTGAGTACAAGACATGAAGTTTATATCAATTGCCAAATCAATTCTATATTATTTCATAAATGAGTATCAACAAATCTCTGATAATACACGAAATCAACTGTGTTTGGTTGTTGTTTGAACTAGTAGAAGGTTCCAATGGAAAAATGTAGGACCTATAATGTCCTCTAATATGAATTTCCTGCACTCAAGAAGTCTTTTCTGTTGATGAAAAATCAGTTCAGCTGAATGGAAAAAATGGATAAACGTTGAGAATCCAATATGAGTTTGAAAACTGGATGTATGCAGCTCCAACAAAAACTTCCTACCTTTCTTCACTTCATTGGTCCAATAATGATAACAATAAGGTAAATTTGTGATTCATTGATATATTTACTAATGAATAACTCTCATTTGCAGTGCCTATCTGAGAGAGAACATGATTGAAATAATCAACAGTTCATACCTATTTTGTTTATGGGGAAATGTATCCAGAAACTAGGACTTGGAGAAATAAGTATGGTTGTTTTTATTTCAAATATTTCTATAAGAAAAATGAAGCAAATTCAATGCCTTTGACTTTTGAACTGCAATACACAAAGCTGGGCAAGAAAAAAGACGTTATGAACATGTGCAGGTGGGTAATTTATAGTTTTATTTGTAATGCTTGACTCATATAAAAATCTTGTTCATGACATCCTGCCTAGGCCTCCATAGATTCCTATTTTGTAGTATCATCTTTGTAGTAAAATCGCCAATGCAGATTGCATGTACTTCCAAAATGAATAAGTTAAAATACAGCTCCAATTACATTCATATGAGCAAAAACAGTAGCATATTTTATAGATATAATATAATAACCCTGGTACAAGCAGGTCATTGAAGTGACACAATCTATTTCTATTTGAATATTCAGATTGTGTAATAGTTAATAGATATGGTTTGTTTATAGTAGGTACTAATATTTCTTCAATTTTTCAGCAGGGAAGGAGTTGCCATCCACAGGGTATCATGCAATTGAGTGCAATTAGTTACACAAATTGAAACCAAAACCCAAATTTCTTGAAGTTGAATTCAAGTTTTTAAGGATATATCACTGATTATTTGGGTACTTGAACATATCCATGAGATTTCAAATTGTATCTTGGAAAAATGTATTCATAATTTTACTGCTTGTATGTTATTATTAAACTGTATTTATTCATAAGTAAACGTTCTACTTTTTTTTCTGTTTTGTAATGTTTTATTGTAGGTTTTCAAAATTCATATTTCAATTCCACAACTACATCAATCAACACCCCATTCTTTTTTGATGCAATTTCAAAGTTTCACTTTATAATCTTTACTGATTCCTTTTAAAATAGGTGCCTACCAGAAAGATACTTACTTTTGCTCATTGTTAATTTATTTCTACATACATGAAAGTCCTGGATTTCAAATTCATTTATAATTGTAAATTTTTATTGAGGTATCTTGTAAAATAATTCAGGGGATAACAGTATACATGAGCACTGAGGGAAGGAGTATACTGGACTATCCTTCTATTTGTAGGTACTTCTTTGGAGTGGCATAAGTACAGTAAAACACATGTTATGTCAATGTACTTTCACTTTCGAAAATTATTATTGATTCAGTTCCAAAATATACAAAACATAATGAACTATACAGATTGATAAGATAGATATTTTCAATTAGATGAATTTAGGATTACAAAATGATATCAAATCACAAAATTTATGATAATATACTGTGTAAATACATTAACTGAAATCCTAGGTCATTTGATCAATGTTTTCCTCAAAGCCTGGAAGTAATATTGTTGTATCTACTATTAAATCCACAGTAATGTCAGGATGCCTTTGATGTTGAATTATTTCTTGGTTTAGACTCATTAGAGCTGGTTGCTGCTGATTTCTATTGTATGGATCAATTGCACATGATTCTGATGGCTATAATATTTAACACAAAATAGTCCAATAGGTTAACACATTGTTCTGGGATGGTTTTCAATATGTTCACAGAAGGCTGTTCACTGTTGAAAAACTTCACTCCTGGTATCACCATTTGTGGTCTGTAGGATCCTTTTGCTTGAAGAGTGGAGTTATAGAAGTATGATGGTGAATATATCAGCTTCTGATGATAGTGGATATGCTTGTAATTTTTGATATCCCATAAAGCTGTCCCACAGAAATGCACTGGTTTGAAGAAATTTGGTCCACGATTCAGTCAGTAGGTAACAGTAATTTTCTTCACATAACGATGAAACAGTAAGATCCAACAAATATAATTATGATTTCAGTTAAAAATTCAACAATTAACACAAATAATACGATGAAATATCAAGAAGAAAATGTATGCAAATCTCAAGAAATTTTGTAAACAAACTACACACTCTTTGCCGCCATCTTGTTTAGAAACAGCGCCCCCAACGGTCGATCACCTTGCCAATTGACGTGAAATTCACTGAATATGCAGGTGATAGAAGATAAACAACAAACAACAATGTTTTCTCACCAAACAATAATGAATAAAATTTGTTGACGAGGTAAGTCGTTTAGTAAGTTACTAATTAAATAATGTAATTTTAATCCACTAATAATTCGGTACACTCAAATTATTGATGTAAATAGACCAACCAAGCCCGAATTCATGTTACCCTAGTAATTCGTTCTATTTATTTTCAGCATTCGCGAGACGGCCTCCAACACGTACTATCGTATCGAAGCAGGAAAGAATCGAAAAACACGTTTATCGTCGAGAATCTCCAGTGAACAGCGGTCGAGATTCCTAGCGTTACATTGTACTACAGTACGAAGTAAATATGATGCGAAGGACGACGATGTTTGGCCATTTCCTTCACGTACTCCCCTTGGACCTACTGTAGAGACGTAAAATGACGAGATGTGGAAGAATATTCATTTTCTTTCTCTCATTTGTGTTTCTTTTTATCCTTTTCTGAAGCTAAGTGTAAAAATGTTGAGGAAATATACTAGGTGCTCAATATTGTGTTATTTATTGGTCTATTTTATTTACTGAGGCTATACAATTGCTTTAGAGTTAAATTTAAACGTAACAGAGTCTTGAATATTTGAAAGTCATGAAATTGTGGTTACGTTCAAAGTTGGTTTGATCAAGACATGAAACATTCTGGTTGTTGATGCATTTCTGAATTTCCATGATTTCAAGCAGATTCAATCTAGAACCTTCATCACACATAGAAAAAATTTCAGAATTACTGACAATATCAAAAGAATGATTTGAATCTATAATATGATTGGCAAAGGAAGATGGGGAATTAGGGTCAACAGCGGTCAAAAATTTACCAATAAAATTTGAAATAAATTGAAATGATATATGTTCTGAGGGAAATCGATTATTAACTGCAATTTGTTTGATGGTATTGATCTCCTTAGTGAACGCATGATCAGAAAGAGGAAGTGAGAAAGCTCTATGGAAAAAACTATTGGGAGCTGCGTACTTATGGAAATGTGGCTGATTAGAAAAGAAGGGGATCATAGAATCGGTTGCAGTTGGTTTCCTGTAAAACTCAAATTCAAATCCAGAAGTAGAAACATTTTTTGTGATAAGTGAATCGAGAAATGGTAGGGCCAAATTGGATTCAGCCTCTATGGTAAACCTAATATTAGGGTGTGAAATTTAAACAGAGGTGACGTCAGATTTGCTACAGTGTAGAACTTAAAAGGTGGAAAAAGGGGTCTAACCTCAAATTTTATTTCGATCCCTATTTTTTTTTCTAGTCTCAGTGTTTGAAATATTTGCACTTATTTCAATGCCACTCTGTATATATACGTAGTTATACGGAAAAGTATTGCGCTAAAACCTATTTCTGCCACAGACTTTTTTTTTCAGGGTTCGGTTTTGGAGATATGACGCAAACTTATATATTCTCCGATGGAATCATCGCGTTGAATTGGTCATTTTTTCCCTCGAAGGGATGTTTTATGCTTCATACATATCATCTCCAGAAACGCTAATGAACACCATCAAATTATTGTGGGGTTTTGCTAGTGGGTTATGAGTTTTTCTTATAAAAAAGTACAAATGGAAGAATTCTCATTTGTGATAGAGATGAGACAGAATCACTTACGCGATTCATAAAACGTATGGGTACCAAAAAACAACAAATGAATAATAATACATGAGTCATAATACATATGAGGAATAGAATAATGATCTAATTGGTATGTTACCGGATAAACCCGATTTCAGGATAAACTAGTTTTTCCTAGGCTAAATCAGTGTATCCGAAGAACAATAGGATGAACTAGTTTGTTAATATTTTGTGAGGTAGGAACATACACCTCTATGAGTAGATCATTCGGGAACGTATTCATTGATATTTTTACTCATAGAGGTGTATGTTCCTTCCTCACAGAATATTAACAAAGTAGTACGAAGTGGTTTGGCCTAGGACAAACTAGTTCATCCTATCGTTCACTACACTGTTTTACCACTAACCAAACCGATTTTTTAACTCCTCGACACGTGTTTCGCTAACTATGTTAGCATCTTCAGGAGAAGATTAAAACTTTCAATCTTCTCCTGAAGATGCTAACATAGTTAGCGAAACACGTGTCGAGGCGTTAAAAAATCGGTTTGGTTAGTGGTAAAACAGTGTAGTGTATTATCGTGCCAAAGGTTCCAGTCTTCGATACATCCTATCGCTGTTCGGATATACTGATTTAGTCTAGGAAAATCTAGTTTATCCTAGAATCGGGTTTGTCCGGTAACAGGTATAGTATATAATTAATCATACATGATAATCCTTCAAGTTCAACTATGAAAACCCATGGCCCACTAGCAGGAATTCATCATAATTTCATGTTTTAGTGTTTTTTTTTGCTCTTCTAAAAACCCTATGTATGAAGTATTCTTCATCATTTTGAGGGAAATAAAATAACGAATTCAACAAAATAATAAAATACAGATTGTTACATTGGAAAATATGTAAGTTTACATCGTATCTCCAAAACCGAACCCTGAAAAAATTTGTTGAGTACGCCACTGGGTTCTGCGCAACATTCTCTGTCAGAAATAGTTCTCAGGGAAACATTATTCCGTAAAACTACGTAGATTTAGAAGGAGTCTAAATTGTGTAAATTCATAAGTTTGTTGTATTTAAAAAAAAAATGTAAAGCCACTGAACTCTGCGCCAAATTTTTTGTCAGACATAGTTTCTAGCGTAACATTATTCCTCATAACTTCCTAGATATAGAAGGGACCAGAAAGTATGCAAAATCTGATTTGGCCATCATAAGTTTCACAAAAAAGGAAGACGGAAACGTGAAAACCGAGAAACCTAGCAGTCTATATCGAGAGAAATATACAAGGTGTTCCAAAGAAACCTGACCCCCTTATATATTAGGGTAGAACACTGCAAAATAAGTTGAGTTCACTTAGTAAAAAAGTTTCGTTACGGCATCCGTCATCAAGATACAAGGTGTTGAAAAAATGATTTTTTTACACACTTTCCAAGATCATGTCGAAACCACTGGCAACATTGTGATGCAATTCTGTATGGTTGTTTCTTGAAACCTGACACATCGGATGCATTCATTTTTATACCTGACTCTCATAGAGGGCGCAAGTTACAAGGGTCGTACCGAGTAGATTTTATCATAACTTTTTTGAGGTAAGATTTTCCAATCCAAATTTAATGTGGACTTGAACATCATTCAATTTCACACCAAAAAGGTACTCTTGGTGAAACTCGATTCTGTGTTCCTTTTTCGGAATATTTCGATTCGAAAATGATGAAGTGATAACTGTTGCTGGTATAAAGTTATGTATCAGAGTGAGTATCATGAAAAATTATCACCTATTTATTGAAAACCGAAAACAACAATACATTCCTGATGCTAAACTTATTGATTCAACATTGAATCACAAAAATAACATGGAAACAGATTCGACTAAGAACATGGATTGCATAGTTTTGGATTGTATCATGAGTAGAAAGTCTATGCTACATAGGTAAATTCACGTCAAGAGTTGTGGGACATAATTGAACATCACCTAAATGGCCCAACAGCTGATTCTCAACTATTTGGAAGAATAATACATTCTTAAGAAAAGAATATAGAATTGTGAATTCGTCGAAACGTAGGACATTTTGAACACTTACTCTAACTGATTCAACATATCATGTTTATAGTCAAAGATCTCTTAATTTGCTACTTATGATTCTTTTTTCCATCAATAACTTCAGCACAAGAATAATCTTATTGTGTCTGGATCTGAATGAATAGGTAATTGAACTCAATAAAATTCATTTTATACCAGCATCATAACTACTTCATTATTTTCAAATCGAAATATTCCGAAAACGGAACATACTATCCAGTTTAACCAAGAGTACCTTCTTGGTGTGAAATTGAATGATGTCTAAGTTTATATATTTTATATTTGTAAAAAAAAAGCTATGTTCTAAACTACTCGGTACGAACCGAGTCATTAGCGCCCTCTATGAGAGTCAGATATGAAAACAAATTCATGCGATGTTTCAGATCTCAAGAAACATCCACACAAAATTTCATCACACTATTGCCAGTAGTTTCGACATAATCGTGAAAAATGTGTGTTGTATCATGAAAACGAGTGCCGTTACATTTTTTCACTGAGCAAACCCAATTTATTTTGCAGTGTTCTACCTACCCTAGCAAGGGGGTCAGTTTTTTTTTTAAACCAACTGTATATTAACTGTTATACGAAACTGTATAACCTTCAAAATATTTCTGAATTGAATAGGCGCCAGAATAGTTCCTTTTTCACTGTAATCAAGTCCATCATTTCACTTTTATGAGAATGAAATGACGGCCATATTGACTCCTACCTATACACTGAGAGAACAGTTTATTAACAATAAAGAAATTTTATTCATTCTTAACGAATGACGTTGTTGAATATGGACTAACTAACATGATTTCATCACAAACTAATGGTATTTTAAAAAATTACAAACGAATATATACAGGTTAATATTAAGTTATAATAATCTTAATCTCATGAAACATACCTATATTAGATATTAACAAATATCACTTTATGGACACTATACCCCATTTTGCATTAAAATAGATTTGTTTATGATAATGTAACGTTACTTCAAATTCAATTAACGTTTTCTTAATGCAATCGACTGTCACTTATATGTTAAGTTATCTATATTAAAACTTAAAACACTGCGTTTTAATTTTAGCTTTTCCAGTGTTTTACAGAAAGGAGGCATTGTTTCAATAAAGAAGCATTACTTATAGCATAAGGAATCATTTTGTTATTGATAAGTGATGCTTCGTCAATATATAATATATTGTTTGGTTATTGATAGTTAATATTTTGAGTCGATGATCGATGGTTCCAATTGTTTTTTCCTATAACAGAAAGAATAAAGAGTCTCTGAGAACAAATTTATTTAAGCAAAAGTTTACAGTATAGTTAAATCACATATATTTTGATATCAAAACATCTGAATAAAAAGAGCTAAAATCAGACCAGAAATCCAGGTGGTATCGAGCATCCACTATATTGATATGAATGATCTGTAACATAAAAATAAACAAGTTCTTGATAGAGATAATATATCTTGTCCCATTTGATAATAGGTACGGTATTTTTTCATCTCTTGGAGCGCACGAAAGGATGTTGAAATTACATTTAATCATTCAAAGTGATTGTACAGTATAAGAAAATAAGAAACTATCAGGTTTTTCAAGGTCAACGATGTTCATTAGGTCGAAAAGTCATGATTTTTCATCTGATGCATCAATTTCGAGGCACTTGGACGGATTAAAATGGATGAGATACAAAAATTTTGGAATGTTCATGGATATCTCAACAGTTGTCGAATACTGATTGACAATAACACAGGCATG